CGTACCTCAGATTGTATGAGGCACCTCATACAACGATTGATATCTGAGGCGCGTCAGCTGTCACCTGACGCAAGCATCGATCTCAGGCACAACATGTATATTTGGTTTTAGATTCGTTCTTTATTGCTTAGTCCATTATTCATTTGCTTTTATTTTTTTTCGTTTTTTTATAGAGATATGACGATAAGTCGGAAATTTCATATGATTTGAAATCTTGTATTTGATTTGGCGTTGAATTTTTGTGATGCAATAGGATTGGATTTTTAACCATGTTATTCTTAGAAAGTCTAAAATTTGGCACTAATGGTCCTTATAGTTATTCTTTAGTCGATCGTACCGCTACTACCGGCTGGGACCGAAATACTTGTATAAATAAATAAATAAATAAACTATGCTACGTACTGATTTATTTTTACTATATATGGTGATCTATCATAATTTCTTCCCTATGTACAGAGGACAAACTGAATGGATAAAGTCTGAGTTTGTTTTGTCTTGTTCCACACTAAATAAGAAAAAGAAAAATTTGTTGATAATCATAAAAAATATTTGACCAATAAAAACTGACAGTTGATGCACAAATAACTATAAAAATGGCCTGAAAATGCTTTAGTCGACAAAACATTTGGAAAAATGGCTTCAAGACATCCAAGAACTTCACTTCCTGTTTCCTCTTCAGTACCATCCCTTACTAATACTACAAGAACAAAATGTAAGTTTTTTTTAAAAAAATAAAAATAAAAAAGGATATTGATCGGCCTTAACTGAAATTTCTTTTAGACATTATTGGGGTATGTGCCATGGACAATAAAGCACGCTCTAAACCTATGAGAAACATTCTAAATCGGCTTCTGAAATTTGGTGAATTCGAAACTGTAATATTTGGAGATAATGTTATACTTGATGAAAGTAATGTTATTTCTAATTTTTAATTAAATTGTTACTCTTGAAAATTTCTAACTATTCTAAAATCATTTTAAGGTGTTGAAAATTGGCCAGTTTGTGATTTTTTCATCTCTTTCTTCTCAAATGGTTTTCCTTTAGATAAAGCCATAGAGTACGTAAAATTGCGTAAGCCATTTTGTGTCAATGATCTGCCAATGCAGAAACTTTTGTGGGATCGACGACTTGTCTTGAAATTGTTAGATATTTTGGGTGTACCTACACCAAAACGTCTAATTTCTAACAGAGATGGTGGTTCCAAAATTGATTTAGATTTAAAATCCCAAATTTTTAAGAATGTCGGTATTCATCTTAAAGAAGAATATTGCCCAAATGCTATAGTTGAAATGCCTAATATTGATACTATTCGTGTAAACGGTAAAACAATGCGAAAGCCTTTTGTTGAAAAGCCTGTCAATGGTGAAGATCATAATATAAACATATATTATTCTTCCGAAATGGGAGGGGGTGGTCGTCGATTGTTCCGCAAGGTAATAATATCATAACTTTTAATATATACATATATATATATATATGAACAAATAATTTAATTCTAATTATATAGGTGGCAAATAAAGCGAGTGAGTTTGATCTTGAGTTGTCACAGACACGCACTGATGGGTCTTACATTTATGAAGAATTCATGGATGTTGACAACGCGGAAGATGTTAAAGTATATACCATTGGACCTACATATGCACACGCAGAAACACGTAAATCACCGGTGGTTGATGGGCTTGTGAGGCGGAACACTGACGGCAAAGAGGTTCGTTACGTTACTACATTAACGAATGAAGAAAAAAAAATAGCAAGCGATATATCGTTTGCATTTGGTCAAACAGTATGTGGGTTTGACTTGCTTAGAGTTCATGGACGATCATATGTCATCGATGTAAATGGTTGGTCATTTGTAAAAGGAAATGACGAATATTATAGTAATTGTGCTCGCATTTTACGAGCAATGTTTTTAAATGCTGTTCGAAAACGGAAGATCAGCATTGATTCAATACCAAACGAACTTCGACTTGAAAATTCTTGGCGTCTTAAATCTTTTATAGCTGTATTTCGTCATGCTGACCGTACGCCAAAACAAAAAATGAAATTCTCTTTTCGAGGCAAGCCTTTCATTGATTTACTTAATGGATCTATTGAAGAAGTCATGTTACGCCAAGAGGAGCTCAAGAAAGTGTCAGATGCTGCAATAGCTGCTACTAAATTACAATGTGATGATATAAATAAATTAGAACAGCTTAAATTAATACTACAAATGAAAAGAGATTTGCCTGGAACTAAAGTACAAATTAAACCTTCTTATAACAAAGATAATAAGCTAATTGAAAAGCTTCAGCTTATTGTAAAGTGGGGTGGTGAAGTAATTATCTATATTCTTGAATTTATTACATTAAATATATATGTTGATATTTATATATCCTATATGGACTTCATTTTAGTTTACTCATTCTGCTCTTTATCAATCACGAGATCTTGGAGAAAATCTGCGAAAAGACTTGTTAATTATGAACAAAAACGTCTTGGACGATATAAAATTGTATACAAGCTCGGAAAGACGTGTTGTCGCAACTGGTATGATATCAAAGTGTATAAAATTTCTTCAGCAATTGAACATTGGAGAATATATCTGTACTTTATATAGTGATATATTACCAAAAAAGATAATATACAACAATAATAATGTTTGCCAAACAAACTTACTAAATTCAAATTTGAGTATATATTGGCATATATAACGTTATTATATATGTATAACGTTATTATATATGTATATAACACGTTATCTGCCATTCCTAATAATGTAAATACAGTCAACTCTCTCTAAATGCATTTCGCCGGGCATAGAAATAAATAATATGTTTACTATGATCTTATATACCGAAGCTAACCTTGCATTTTAAAGAATTTAATATGATCTGTTCTGAGAGAACATGCACTTAGAGAGAGCCGACTGTATTTGAACGGATTGGATTCAAATAATAGTTCAGCTACTTTGATATATTGATATATTAATTTGTTAAAAATGCAGCATTATATGTACACGTAAATTGATAGGAGGATTCTAACTTTTGAAAAATTTCAAATTAGCTGAAATATTTGCTAGGACTTTCCTGGATGTAAATGATATTCCTGAAAATCTTATTGAAACTCGAAAGGAAATGCTGGATGACAGTAATTCAGCTAGGGAACAAATGGACGATGTGAAAAATAGACTGAGAACCCTTTTAAAACCTGGTGAATCTTTGAATGTGGATTGGGCATGGCCAAAAGATCAACCTGAACCATGTATTGTGGTCCAAGAAGTTATTGAAATTATGAAGCATCTTCGCAAATTAATGCATGAAAATTTTGAACACATGGATTATGATAATATTCAATCTCGATGGTGCTGTTCTGAAAACCCACTACTTTTTAAAGAACGGTGGGAGAAATTATTTAAAGATTTTTGCGATGTGGATCGTCACATGTTTGATCCAAGTAAAATATCTGAACTCTATGATTCTCTCAAGTACGATGCATTGCATAATCGACAATTTTTAGAGTCCATTTTTATTGATCAAAATGGCAATAAGAGTACAGTTGAAATAAAAAAACTATATCAACGAGCAAAAATCTTGTTTGATTTTGTCGCGCCTCAAGAATATGGTATTGAAAATAAAGATAAACTCTTAATTGGAATTTTACTCTCAGATTTGTTGTTAAAGAGTATCATAGAAAATTTAGAGGTATCCAAACTTAATCTTTTATATTTTACTATAATCGAATGATTGCTAATATTACCGTAATACATAATTTTTTTTTGGTAGGAGTCAAAATCAAGTTTAAAGCCAAGTACAAGATTATATTTTACAAAAGGTGAAAATTATATAATTTTTTTCTTTGAACATGATAAAGTAAAATATTAATGCACTTGATTATAATATTTTTGGTTTTACCAGAATCTCATGTACATTCTCTTCTAAATGTCGTGTTTTTATCTGGCCTTCCCACAAGAATACCCAGGAAAGACGTTCCAGAGCTTGATTGTAAATAAATAATTAAATTTCAAGAAGTGACAAATATCAGCATATCAGCACGTTATATAGGAGGGATAATGACTGTGTAGTATTTATTAAATCGAAGAGAGTCTGTTTAATAATAATTGATTATGAACTGATATTTGCCATTTTCCTTACTGGCGCCTTTTTTTT